CGTGGCCGAATACAACTCGCCATCTATAGGAGACAGAGTCAGCCAGACTGGAAGTGAGCTCGAGACACAATTAGGCTTACACAGCCCCAGAATGGGACTTGCAAGTCCCTGCACCAACCACCCCCTCAAGGTCTATACTGGGGATAGCCACTCACCCACAAGAAGACCAGTGTGGCCCTTAGCTGGGTCATAGGGACACTTTCCTTTCCCATCCTCAAACTCTCCACGCTCCAAAGAGAAGGTAAGTATGTCCTAGAGGCAGAGAGAAAGACAATGTGACTGAGACACAGGAGGGAAAAACCCTCAAGGAGCCTGGGAAACCATGACCCAGAAGCCCAGAGAAGAGCTGACAAGGGGAACGAGGGAAAGAGGTGCACTCACGATGTAGGTGCACTTGGGCTGGAAAGCGTAGGTACCACACACATATAGGTGGGATGCATTATAGGGCTGCAGGAAGCGGATGAAGTTGAAACACTCCGTCTAGGGGAAGACAGGCATTCCATTAGTGAGCACACAAGGGGCCCAAGACGTAGAGACATAACAGCCAAGAATGGGACTGACCAGTACTGGAACAAAGGGAGACCCAGAGCCCTAAAGTGCTCAGGAGAACACATGCACCCTAGGGCTCTGGCCCTCCCAGCATTGCCCTAGCACCTACCTGGTTACTCTTTCCTTTCTGGATACATTCAGCCTTTTTCTCAGTGGGGGCCTCCCATGAGATCTGGGGACAGGGAAAGAGAACAGGTCAGCAACATCACAGGCATGTACCAAGCCATGCGCCTGAAGAAGCAATCTGGGGGCCACCAAGTGAAAAGGCAGTCCCCATTCTCTGGGGGCTTTCTTTTTGTCAAGGACAGAAGCCCCGCTACCCACTGACAACAGAATCCAGGAAGTAGGGGAAAGCATCGTGCTAATTCTGGCTAGAGGGCTGGCCTTGGAAGGGGAGCAAGGTTTCACAAGGGGAGAAGGACAAGGTAGGGAATGGGAGACTGGGCGGAAGGGACATGTGACCAAGCAAAGCCCCTCTAGGTCCCACTTTCTCTCATCCCATTTGTGTGCCTCCCTCCCCCCCCGCCCCCCCCCGGCTCCCCTCCACATCTCACCTCTCCTTGCAGCTCCAGAGCCTCCAAACTGAAGGCAAACAGGGCCTCCCGGGCTCCCACGTACAGAAGCCCTGTCTGCTCAGTTAGGGTCAGTGTCAGGAAGTCCTGGATGCCAGTTTGGGAAAACCGCCGCACCACTGTTGCCAGCTCTGCAGGGACAAAGCAAGACTAAGCAAGGCAAGAAGAGGCTCGAACCACCCCAAGTACCAGCCTTTCCTTCCTAAAAGTCTCCTGGGTACAATGACCCCAGTTTTCCATATCCGAGCCAGCACACCACTAACCAATGATTGGCAATAAAGGCATTTTCTGAATAGCTCTTCAGCTCTGACAATTCCACCCGAGCCTTCTTGGCCTCTCCTAGCCTGGGAGGGAGAAAATCCGGGCTGGCGCAAAGGAAGGAAGAATATCTCAGCCACAACTTCCGGCCAGAGGAAGCCATCAGAACCGATGGCTCTCACTCTCAGGGTCAGTGGCACCTCTATCCCCAGAGCAGGGCACTTTCCCTGGCTACTGCTTCTTCCTCTGCACTGCTGCCCACTACCCATATCAGGATCCAGCGAGGTCTGGCCCCAGGTTAAGCAGAGAAGGAAATAGAGAACAGTTGTGAGTCCTCTTTGCCTTTGGAAACTTTTCATCCTAGCATGATCCAAATCAGGATCCTCTCCAAGTAACCCAGAAATGTAGGCATAGCTGGGGCGGGGATGCCAGGCCAGGAAGGGCAGGGCAAGTCAGAGACTCAAGCACCAGGGACCATGCTCATTCAGAGGCGGGAGGCCATGCTATCAACCAGGGTTGTACAGTCACAGCATTTCTATGTCATCCCCCAAAATAGGTCCAGTCTGTCCTCAGGGTCTCCCCAAAGCCAGCCTTTAAATATAGGGAGCCAATGATAAGCTCAGCCACAGGCCAGCATGGGAGGGCTTCATTAGCGCCCAAGTGGAGCCTGTGGGAGGTGAGCTCATCCTAAGGTCCCTAGAGTGCAGAGATGATACAAACACCTGACATCACCTCTTTGTACAGGTGTGCAAGAGGACAGCTGCCGCTTGCTTGGTCCCCTCCAATACTACCAATGAAGGGGCACACCCATCCATGACCACCAGAGGGGGCGAGTATTAGAACCACAGACGCATCTGTTAGCATTCATAAGGGGAAGCTCCCTTACATGAAAGGAGTAGCCAGGACTGGGGATAGGGAGCTGGTTAAGAGACTTTCCAAAGCCATCCTAAGTGTCTGAAGGAGGCAGAGAGCAGGTCTTGACCTGTACTACCCATTACCCTCCCAGTTCTGAGTCTCTAGGGCCACAGTTTTAGGTTTCTTAAAAAGTTGCTCCACATACAAGGATGATTTTGTGCATGCTGGCAGAATAATAACTGCACATATGTTGGTGGGCAATTCTTTAGCAAGCCCTGTACTGCCTGGAACCATCCTCCTCTTCTCCCTGCCATCCTTCCTATCCTTTCCTGCCTTCCCTCTCTCCAATTTCTTCCTCAAGCAGGCACTCACCCCCAGAGGATACCGTCTTCCTGGGCACAAGGTTCCACCACACCTCAGCCCCAATGCCAAGGCCCCACAGCCCTGCTGCCAGCAGACAGACAGCCCAGTGTGGGGCCATGGCCCACGCCCCAGCTCTAAGCTCCAGGCCAGCTGCCCTGCTGGGGGAAAAGAAAGGGTCAGAAGGCACAGCCAAACAATCTGCAAAGGGGCTCACACAAGCCCACTCCTGCAAGCAATGACAGAACGAACACCTGATCAGCTTTCCCAAGAGCCCCCTGGGTCTCCCAAAAGATTGGGCTCTCCCTGTGGGAAAGGGGGCAGGAGGATCTGAGTCAGCTGGAGGAGAGGACACTTCCTATCTCCCAGATCTCCCGACTAAACCACAAGTCCTCTCTGGCCCCTAGGCCCTTCCCCATGCAACAGGAAGTTGTTTTAAAAAAATTAAAAGAGGGACCCCCGCCCCCCTTCTCCCACACCCGGGCCTAAAAGGTTTGAGGGTTTCTTAAAATAACCTCAGGAAGCAAGACCTGCCTTCACTGGGACTCCGGCCAGCATCAAGACCTAATAATTCTGAGATACAAAACCCTTAGTGCAGTGAGGGGGTATCTGGTGGGGGCGCGTGGTTGGAAAGGGCCTGGTGTAGGGGACCTGGTGAAGCAGCCATGTAGAGGTACTGGCCCCAGTCTCTCCCCTCCCCCAGTGTAGACAATAGCTCAGGCAAAGCCCAAACCCGGTTCCACATCAGCAGTGTTGGAGTAGGGCTGGTATCCTAAGGGGCCCAGCTTCCGAGTCCCCTTTGTTGCCTGAGAAGGGAGGCAGGAAGTGGGTAGGATGGGCGTGGAAATGACCAGGCCCTCATCCTGTTCCTCCAACAGCCTCCTAGGAGACACTGGGGGGACAGACGGCAGGAGAATGGAACAAGCTCTGGTTTAATCAAGGATCTCGCTCCCAGCTGTGCTTACAGGCCGGGGGGGAGGGGGGAGTGCTGTGTGGGTGGAAGTGAGGACTAAGGGTGGGGATAGAAGGGAAACTAAACTACTCTTTGACCACGGGAAAGCACCAAGCTGGACCAGCGCCTGCTGCGCTCCCCGGAGTCTGACGAACCTTCTCAACTCGAGGATTGCGCCCCGGGTACCCTGACCTGGGCTGGGAACTAGATTGATTGCTACTGCTCAAGCCCGCCAATTCCGGACACAGAGATACTGGGGCTGGGGACCTGCTCCCCTTAAAACAAAAGGTCCCCGCCGAGGCCCGGTCCCCGGTCCCACCGGGTTCTCCCCTCCCCCAGCTCCGGGGATTTGAATGCAAACAAAGCGGCGGCGCCCGAGCGTGGCGGCGCCCAGCCTGCGGACGCCCTCTATCGGTCAAAAACCCTAGCGCGGGAAGGGAGGGTGGACCGGGTTGCCTTCTTCCCGCACCCATCCCAACACACCCCTAAGCCCTCCCTCTGCCCCTTACCCCAAACCCGGGGAGGACGCCGCGGTGCGCTCCAAGAACCCGCCCGCGCAGCGGTGCCCCCGCACCCAACTCCTCCCTAGACAGGGGAAAAGGGGCACCTCTCGGGGGGGTGGTAGGTGGAAGAGCGCGGGGCTCAGGCAATGTGACCCCCGCCCCTGCCCACCCTGTACGGCTGACAGTGAACGAAGACGATCCCACAGCTGCGGGCGGGTGTTCCAGCAAGGAGCAGGGTATTCAGCTCGGATCGGGGGTTGGCTTTCCGGGACAACCCGCCTCCCCGGCAGAACGGGCAGGCGGACTGGGGGCCGCAGCAGGGAAATCTGATCCCACAACATCGGCCTCAGTCCAAGCCCGCCCCAAACTTTCCGTCGGGGATGGAAGAGCCAGGGGCAGTTCGGGGGCCTGGTGAGGATCCCGGCCACGGGCCGGGCTGCACGAGAAGGGACCCCCACTCCACCTAGCCCTGCTCCTCCAGGCTGGCCCGCCCCTCCGGACCCTATGGCTGCAGGCACACCTCGCCCCTCTCCTGCCGAGCTCCAAGACAGCTTGCGGAGAACGCAGGAAGGCTCTTCGGCGGACAGCTGTCCCCGCCACCGCCCCTCCCTGCGCCCCTAGACCCTGCCCCTCGCGCGTGCGGCGGCTCCTGTTCAAGCAGAGGGACAAAGCGGCGGCCGCAGCCCCGCACAACCCCGGCCTCACTCACCTCTTACGCGCGGCTCAAATCCCTGGGCGCCGCCCTCGCGTTCCGCGGCGACCGCGTTCCTCCTACCTTCGCACCGCCTTCCGCCCTCCTCTCCCGCCCGCCTCCCGCCTCCCGCCTCGGTCCCGGCACAGCTCCGCGCCCCTGGGCTCGGGGTCCCCGCGCCACAGCGGCGAGCGCCGGCTCTTTCTCCACAGCGGCCGCTGCTCTCCGCCCCCTCCCCTGACGTCAGGTGGGGGGGGTGTCTAGAGGAGGCTGGGGGCGGGACGGGAGGACCCGCCCAGGAGGGGGCTGCGACCCGGCACGACCTGCGGGATCGCCGGCTCTCCAGCCACGGGGCTCGGACCCCAGCCCCATTCGGTGCCCAGCAGCCCAGAACCTCCGAGTCGCGGTCTGCGCCACAGCTCAGGGTGATGGAGAGAAGGAGGGACCCCGAGCTTTACCACTGAGAATCGAACTCACCTGGTCTTTTCGAAGTGTCTCCGGGAGGACGGATTGCCGGGGTCGGGGATGGGGTTGAAGGTCTCAACCTCTGGTTTGAGGGACGAACGCTGGCGAACCACCGCCAGTATCTGAGGGAGTCGTGCCGGGGAAACCCAGGTCTCTCTCCTGGGAGGACCAGAGTGATCTGTCTTTTGGGTTACAAATCTTGCTCGTTGCTTTGCTCCAACCCCTGCTGGCCCCTCCCCTCATAAGGGAACGGCTGTATCAGTCAGGAAGACCCCAGTCTCCAGAGACTCCCTTCTACCCCTGGATTCTTATGCTCCAGGAAAACTACTCAGCACCCCTTGTCAAGGCAACCCTTGACTGCTGTTGTCCAAAGCCTACCCCCAGGAAATGACTCCTGGTGCCACTGGGAAGGCTGATTAACAAGTAGCATGAGCCCGATGATGTTCAGATGAAAAGGGCAGAAGGAGCCACGCTGGAGAAGAACCACTGGCTGCAGAACCGCCAGCCTCCGCCCACAGCGCTCCTACAAGTAACGTGTAGCTCTGGCCTCCTGGGCGGTGCTGGTATCCTCCCTGCCAACTGGTCCTCCAAGCTGGGCAGGTGGACAGAGAAGCCCTAGGGAGGCCACTCCATAGGCACTTGGAAATAGATGCCACTTCTTGCCTAGGGGCAAAGGGAAGAGATGACAGGACCGGAAGTCCTGGAGGCTTCAGTGGTAACTTTAAGGGTGCAGTGCATGAGGGGGTTGGACATTTTAGGCTTCGTCAGCAGATCTGGATTATAAATCAGCCCCGACAGCAGCTTTTGTTCCGTGTTAAAACTTGGCATCGGAAAATCAGAGACCCAAGAGTAGTGGAGATAATTGGGAAAAGCAGCCCAGTTTGGTTTCTGTAACAATTGGGCCTTTGCTGGTACATATAAAGGCCCCTTCTCCGGAGCTGGCCAAAACCACATTTCCCAGCCCCTTTCCACCAAAAAAAAAAAAAAAAAAAAGTGACCTTGGAGATGTTGGAGATAGAGGGAAAGGCACCAGTTAACAATTAGCATGGAATGAACAGAGAAGGTTCTCTCTTTCAGCTTACAGGAAAGGAGATAGATGTACATGGTCTTGATCAGACCTTGGGTCCATTTACATGGAGAAGTAAAGTTATAGGTAAATACCCCTCACATTTGTTTTGTGCTTTCAGACTTTGCAATCTACCTCATTAGATATTTCATTACTCCACCCTTATTTAATAACTAGGTATTGTTTCTCCAACTTTATAGATAAAATGAGTCTCAGAGAGGTTAAATAACTTGCCCAAAGACACGTAGATGATTAACAAGGTGAGAATCTTAAATCAGGTCTTCATACTGCTAGCTCCTGGCCTTTTCACTAAATCACAGTGTATATTGACAATTTTAGCTCCCTAAGAATCCATTTCCTGTTTTTCCTCACCTTTGAGCCTCCATCCCACCAACATCCTTACCTACCTCCCCCTTAGCCTCTAAGGTGAGCAGGTTACCAGGCAGTGACTTGAGCTCCCTGCCTCCTCCATCTGTCAGGTGGCCTGAGTAGAAAGTTTCAAAAGACGGTTTCGTTTCACACTGGCAGGTATAGTTCTTCTGTACCTCAGTGGCCTTTCATTTTCCCGAAGCTGGGGATGTAGGCAGGGAAGAAGTCTTCAGCTAACAGATTCTGAGAGCGCTTCCCTCCCACAAAGATAAGGCTCCAGGTCCCTGTTTTCTTGTCTTTTCTACCTTTATTCATTCACTGCTATATTGTTCATTCCCAGGTCTGGTCATTTTCGTCAATGGATTGCTCAGGGGATAAAGTTTCCTGAATGACTACTTGCTTATGATTAATGCATAGTAATAAGAGTACAACTGGTAGAAAATGGGAATTTCTGGGTCTTAAATTAAGAAAGAAAGAGGTAAGGCTCATGTATGTCTGGTCTCCCTGTTGTTTGTTGTTAAGTGCTGTCTAGTTGGTTCTGACCCACAGCGACCCTGTTTAGGGTTTTCTAAGGTGAGAGGATTGGAACCATGCAGTTCCAACCGATTTTGCAGCCCAGCTGTGCCACACCAGGACACCTCGGGCCTGACATATTCTATGCAAAGTGTCCATCTTGTGGGTTAAAGCAAGTGCCCTTTTTCTCCTTTCACTGGCCATGTGCCATGGTGCCCTTCATTTAAGCTACTCATCTTTTACCTCTCCAGAAACAGCTCTCCAGGGTGCACACTGGGGCTTTCTAGTCAACACTGCAGCATAGCCGACTTCCAAGGGAGCAAGGAGCTACAGACATCCCAGATGGGAAAGTGAGAAAGCCAGCCACCCTTCAGGAATCTTTCTGAGGGGCTGGGGGTGGAGGTGACTGGGGACTTCCTCCAAAAAGAGAGTTATCAAAGTCATTCACCTGGAAACCAGCTTTTCCCTTCTCAGCCCCTCCCAAGCCACCACCACCAAAAGGAAGCCGGAAAATATCCGTCATCACAGCCACGGATGCTGCGTTTCCAATGGCTTCTATCAGGATATCCCCTGGCCTTTTCCCAGGGGTTTAGGGGTGTGGAAAGGTCAAAGACTTGGAGGGGGAAGTAGGAACATGGTCAGCACCACTGTGCAATTCTAGGTCTCGAGAAGACTGAGCTTCTAACTGGTCCCAGTCTAGTTCTAGATGATCTGGTCAGCTACCACGCCAGTGCCAGAGAGGTCCCATTACAGGTCCCAGATATCAAACATCCTTGGGTGACCTTGCAGTGCACACCTGCTCAGGTTACAGCCAGGTCTCTGGAGAACGGAGTCAATATCACCACCTCCTCTCTCCTTGGTATCTAGTTCTCTCTTGTGGCTGAGCATGTTTGGGGAGCAGGGGAGGTGGGTCATGTACAAGATCCAGGACTGGGGAGAAGGGCTCCAGAAGTCTACACTGATGGACATCCCCATCAGTTTCTGGGAGCTAGGTAGGGGCAGCTTCCAGAATTGGAAACTCCCTGGTTCAGCCACTCAGGTCTCCCTACTCCTTTCTGCCCTTGGCAGTGAGAACAAAGAAGGGAAATTTCAAAGGTGATTTCCAGGTTTCCAGAGCAAACTGAATAGCTGTGGATTAACTGTCAGGATGTTCTGTGTCAGAGGCAGGGGCAACCCTGAGGGAGAGTTGCAGAAGCTAGCTCTTCAAGTGTCTCCATCCTTTTATCTCGGCCATCTGAGGCCGACCTGATGCCACTGAGGCCCCAGAGATGCCTCGGCCAAGGGGGCATGTGATACAGCCAGGAACAGTAACCAGAACTCTAGGCTGAATTGCCTGGGCATCCAAGTCACTCTGGCCAAGGGTTTCTTCCACCCAGTAACTGGCAAAGGTTCTGAGACAGAGAGATATTCTGTATAGTACTCAGCTCTGTGCTGTGCTCCCTGCTTGTGAGCTCTGAATAATATATGCCCCCAGGCTTCTAGCATTCTGGGGACCCAGAGAAGGCGACAGTGGTATCTAAAACAGGCCCTGGAAGTGATGGACTCAGGTCTGTTGGTTCAGACACTGGGCTTGAAGGTCTTGGGGGAATCACTCTGAGTTGGGGGGGAATCACTCTGAGTTCACCTGTATTAGCCCTAGAAACAGAGACAGGCCAGAGTCTATGACTGGATTCTTAGGGTTGGGGTAGAAAGAGAAAGTCGATACCCAGGGATTTGCTGGGGTACTGAGAGCCTGTTTACTTCTCAAGGAGCTCAAGTCAAAGATTTACCAGCACCCCACTCCCCACAGGGATTGGGACCCACAACACAGAGCTGGGGCAAGCTGAGGAAAAGCAGAAGGATGACCTGGGATCATCTTTGGGGCACAGCCCCCCCTCCTAAATCTAGGGAGTGGGTTTCAGAGCTCCATGATGAATTGAATTAAGCGTAATTACAGCCCTGATCCTCCATTCTCAGTCTGTGCATCCTCTCCCATGGGGACAGGGAGGAGTGCTTCCAGGCTGGGTCCAAACCAACGGTCCCCATCCCTGCTTCTGGGGTTTCTGGTAACTCTGAGATCACAGGACTGCTCACCTCACTCCACTGGAGGAGAAAATAACTGCTCTCCCCTCTCCTCCCTCCCCACCCCCTGAACAAACAGCACCCTGCTGCCTGGTGGGCCGGGCAGGCCTGTCCAAGGTGAGAACTCCTGGCAGAGCACAAACAGCTGGGCATGAGCCCTCAGGACAGGGATTGAAGAAAAGCTTCTAAACCACTGATGCTGAAATAAGACTTTAATATGCACAAAGAAACCTCACATTAGTGAGAGAGAAGGAAATGGAGGAAGGAGGGTGGGGAGGACTAGGCCCTAAAGGGCCCAGGAGGCCCAGGGAAACCAGAGCTATGGAGACAAAGGCCTTGGGGAAGAGGAGAAGGCTGGGAGGGAAGGAGGGCTGAGGGGTGGGTCTGGGCAGGAGAGGCTGGATTCATTGCCGCCTGCTGGAGGTCAGGAGCAGTAGTGGAGGCAGGCTCTTGCTTCTCCCGGGCTGGTCATCCTCTGTGGGCCTCTGCTTCCTCCAGTTCCCTGGGCCGGCCCTCAGCCAACTCCCTCAGGTATCTTTCCAGGGGCAGAAGTACTGGACCTGAGGCCAAAGAGGAAAGCACTGGAGGTGACAACCTGGGGCCCAGGTGACATTCACCACCCACTCTGTCCTGAGGCTCCCTGGAGCCATCAGCATCCATTCAACATCTACTACAGACTTCCTCTAGACCTCAACTGTGTGGTCCACATGCAGTCCCGGGGCTGGCACAGAACTGGGCAGCATTTCCCTCTGTTACGTGGGGCTCACCATGCATCAGGGCTGGCAATCAGTAGGCCGCCTGTGTGCCACCTGCTGGTGAGCAAGACCCCATGAGAGGACCCAGCAGGTCAACAGGCCATTTGAGTGCAGTGACATGAGACGGGTGCTCTGCTGGGCTTCCCTGTTGCTCACCGCTCCCTCATCCCCTCCACCCCAGCGCAGAAGAAGGGTGGTGCCAGACCACCAATTGCTTTTCCTTCTTTACATGACAAGCACAGCTTCCCACCAGAGACTAGTGTGATCTAGTTGCCTGGGAGTTGAGGATGAGATTAGTTCTTCAGCTTTCTCATAGACTTGCGAAATCTGAGACCCAAGCCACAGCCTGTGGGCCAGCACGTCAGCCCCAAGTCAGAGGTTATAGGAGGGAAGGACATTAAACGAGCAGCGGGGAGGTGGAGGTGGAGGAAGGAAGGCAAGTTGAGAGCTGAGGACCACTGGGGGTGCTGGAGGAAGATCTGGCCCTCCCCAGACCCAGCTCCTCTCAATCTAGGGTCAGGATCTTAGATTTGGGAAGGGCTCTCAAGTCAGCTGGTGCTAGTTGGAAGGACGAAGGCCAGAAGGGAGACCAGAGTAGCAGCTGAACTGTGTTGAAGTTGGCAGGCTTCAGACTGGCTGGCTTTAAGGCCCGTTTCTGACATTTACTGGAGTTGTGTGATGGGCAAGCTACTTATCCTCTCAGTGCCTTTGTTTAGTTTCCTCCTCTGCAAAGTGGGGATAGTCATAATACCTGCCTTGTGGGGCTTGTGAAGGTTCTTGTAGAAAGGGGTCTTCATTCAATAAACATTAGTTCTGAGTCAGAGTTGACTTGGCAGCAACTGGTTTTGGGCTTATTATTACCTAGAGAATACTGGGGTGGGGGTGGAGGCTGTCCTGCAGAAGTGGGCTCAGGGATGGGTTCAGGGCAGCCTAGGACAAGCCTCAGGCCTGCAGGACAAGAGAGCAGAGGGAGGACAGCTGGTGGCTCTCATGCCCCTTCCTGGCACTGCTCAGGCCAAACTGGTGTTCCTGAGCCAGGCTCTTCCCTCTCTAGGGCTAACTTTTTTTGGGTATTTGTTCATAAGTAGGCTCCTCTATGTCTTCTCTCTCAACCCGACTCGGGGCATTTGATTCTTGATGAGACTGAAGAAGGTCCCCCAGGCATCTCCATCCTCTTCCCAGTAGCCCTCTTCCCCTATCTCCCAGTTAGAAGGAGGTCAGCAGCTGCAGTGGGGGTGGACACACTACCGGCACTGGTCAGCTCTGCTTCACCACTTTCCTTCCCTCCCAGGCCTGGAGGCTTCAGGGGGTACCACCTGGGGCTGGCAGCGGGCCAGCAGCTCCTGCCAGCGGATGTAGGTCTGGGTGGCCAGGTCCTTGAGCTTGGTCCGGTGCATGACCTGGGGGCTCTCCCGGATATGGGTGCTGATGTGGCGATCCAACTGTATGCACAACAGCTGCAGCTCACCCTGAGGAGGCGGGGCCGTGGGCCAGAGCATGTGGCATGGACCAGAGGCATCCAAAGTTGGGGGGTTGGGGGTGGTGGTGAGGGGGCGGAACAAAGCCAGAGAAAGAACTGAGCATATTTGGCTGACCATTCAGAAGCTGGGCAGGCAGGGAAGGGAGGAGAGGGCAGAGGCAATTGTTAGGGCACAGGTCAGTCAGTACCCCTTGGGAATGTCTCGTGGGACCCTGAAGAGGAAGGGACCCTGGCAGTTTCTTCCTCAGCCTCCCATTCTGTGCAGTTCCAACAGTGGGGGTGGATCCCATGCTGCTTGGAGAGGACACAACTGGGCACCCCCAGCCCACCCCAGCCTCTAAGAGACTCACCCACTGGTCTGGAGTGATGTCCTGGCAGCTGACTACAATCCCAGCCAGTGTCAGCAGGCTGTGGCACAGGTAGCAGACCTGGATGGGAGACACAGCGGGAGAAGCTCCAGACTCCTTACTCTTGGACCCAAGGGGTCAGGACTCATTCCACCACTGGGTCTCCAGTAACAATTCCCTGGGTACATGGGGCCAGCAGCCCCCACTAGCTCAGGACTGGGAGTCTCTCACACCTCTGAATGAACTCCCTTCCTTCAGAGGACATCTCTGTTATGCAAAACCTACACTAGTGGGACTTCTGGCAAGATGGCAGGCTAGACAGACACACTACACGGACCCTCTACAACAAAGAAATGAGACACAAAGTCAAAAAGACACAGATGAAAATTCTGGCACCCGAACTTCAGAAGAAAGACTAGAGAGATAGATGGAGTGCTTGCTGGGAGGAGAGGCCAAGCAGGGACAGCAAGAGAGGGAGACTGGTGAACAGCTGGCCAGCTGCGGCACCATCATCTTGTGAGCAGCTTTGGCTGGCAGAGCAGATTCACATGGGCAACTGAAAAGGTGCGATTTCTTCTTTATCCCCATGCTCCACTGGTGACCAGAGGTGTGGCCAGCTCCCACCCTCATCCACCCCCAGCTCAGACCCTTGTCTCCAGGACTCTGGAGTCCTGTGGTTGGCAGCCACCTTGGTGTGAGGTGGGGGCTGGCTGTACAGCTTCGGTGCCTGGATTCAGGTGGACCTAGTTCCAGACCTATAGAACTACCAGACCAGCATTTAACCAGTCATCCTGCCCTAGCTTCCCTGTAGTCCTAACAGACATTGAAACCATTTCCATCAAGGGCCCCCATGAACTACTTCCAGAATGAGTACCCTGATAACACCAAGGCCATAGGAACTCTTTCAAGGCCCAGGAACTCTGTTGTCATATCCCTTCCACAATCATCTCGTGAACTCCTAGAATTGCAGGAGCCCACCAAAGATCTGTCCCCTCCGGGTCTAACAAGTGCACTGTTGGTTTTTACAAATTCGACAACCCCACAATGCCCCAGAGACAACAAACAATTTTAGCTCACACGAAGAAACAAGAGAGAATGGCTCAAACAAATGACCAAGATGCAGAGTCAGAAAATGATTCTGAGGAAGAAAAGGTAGTGGAACAACTGAAAAAGAATTCAAAAGAATTGATAATTATGTACCTTCAAACTTTCAATAGAAAGATCAAGGAAAACGGAACACAATAAAATAATTCAGGAAAACACTACAAGAAGAAAAAAGTCAAAATGGACCTGGCAGTGTTTCCTTCTGTTATGTACAGGGTTGCTAGGAGTCGGTAACTCAATGGCACTTAATAACAACAAGAACAATCAGAAAAAAAGAATGAAAAAAATCCAAAGAAAGCCTAAGAGTTATGTGGGGCACCATGAAGAGGAACAACTTATGGGTGGTCAGAATTCCAGAACAGGAAGAGACAAGCACACAGAGAAAAATTTTCAAAGAGCTGTTGGAAGAAAACTTCCCTAACATCATGAAAGACGAGAGGATAAGCATACAAGAAACTGAATGAACCCCAAACAGGATAGATCCCAAAAGAAAATCACCAAAACATATCATAATCAAACTTTCCAAAATTAAAAGACAAGGACAGAATCCTGAGAGCAGATGAGGAAAAACAAAAAGCTACCTACAAAGGAGAGCCAATAAAATTAAACTGATTTCCCAGCAGAAACTATGCAGGCAAGAAGGCAATGGATAATATACACAAAACTCTGAAAGAAAAAAATTTCCAACCAAACATCAAGCAAGCAAGCAAGCAAACAAGCAAAGCTGTCCCTCAAATACAATGGTGAAAATTAGGACATTTCCTGATACACAGAAATTAAAGGATTATGTAATGACCAGATCAACTTTATTTAAAAAAAGAAAAGAAAACTGTTAAAGGGTATTCTTTGGACTGACAATCAACAACCTGAGATTACCATATATGACACCACCACCCAGATATAGTATTTAATGTAAAACAAACCTACAAGGCTGAAAATTGGGAACCAGAGACACCAATGTATAAAGAAGCCAACTGCAAAGCAAGAAGAGGGAAAAGTGTATTTATAGAACTTACAAATGGCAAGGAAGTCAAGTAGATTTCAAGATAAAACAGATTGTTTTAGGCAGGGAAAAAAATTAATAAATTACAGGGTAACTTCAAAGAAAAATAATATACCTGCACATCAAAATAAAAAAAGAGGAAAATTAGAAATATTTATTAAACATTAACACAGCAGAAATTAAAATGAAAAGAAACCTACAAACAAAATGAACTCAGCATACTAAATTATGTAGAACAAAGAATCCTGCAGTACCACAAAAAAACACACAGAAAAATTACAACAATCATTTCATACCTATTGATAATTAAACTGAATGTAAAAGGATTCAATGTACCAGTCAAGAGACATAAAGAGCAGAATGGATAAGAAAACAGGATCCTTCAATAAACTGTCTTCAAGAGACATATCAAAAAGATGGAGACATCCTAAATGCCCATCAACAGAAGAATGGTTAAACAAACTTTGGTATATATACTCAATGAAATATTACAAAATGTTGAATAAAGATGACTTTGCAAAATACCTCACAACATGGTTGAACCTGGAGGACATTATGCTCAGTAAAATTAGTCAATCACAAAAGGACAAACACTGTATGAGACCAATGTTGTAAAAAGTTTACAAATAAAAAAGTTTCCATGACGGAAAATTACCCATGGGTTACAGGGTAGACACGTTAGCATGGATCACAGGGATTACAAGAGAGAATTTGTAGAGGAAAGATGAAGGGAGACACAAGGAGGAATGCAATAGTTAAAGTGAGTAGAGGAAAATTATTTTAACTGTTGGTACACGGAGGGGATTGCAACCATGCAGTGAAGCAAAGTATGTGATTTGGTGAATGTAAAACTGATGATCTGCTCTGTAAACCCTCACTCCATTCACAATAAAAAGTTTAAACAAAAACATATCACCTACAATAGCACCTAGCTCTAGGCCTGCCCCAGAGAAAGCCTCTTAGGGTTCCGGCTCTATCTACTCTCACCCTCGGCAATCTTTGTGGCTACTTGACTGAGAGCTTTGTGCAAACGGTGGGGGGTGGGGGTGGGGGAAGGAACCCTCTTTGTGGGGATGTCCGTGAATCACTGCTGCAACCACTTCTGGAGTCCACACCCCCCTTAGTGGGACTTTACCTGCACAGGCATATGAAGAGTCTTCAAAAAGTCATGGCAAGATGGAATGAGAAGACAGTGGAATTTTGCCATGCACAACCCTCTTTGAACATTTGGACAGGAAGAGATGTTTTGCTGTGTTGGGCATTTACATACCTTTCCCAGTCATTCGTACCCACGGGACGGGTAAGAAAACAGGACAAAGGTCAACTTCATCATAACAGTGTGTTTTCATCCCAGAGTACCCTTGGATTCTATTGTTAGTTGCTTACTGGACAATGGTTAAGTGCTTAGATGCTAACCAAAAGGTTGGTGCCTTGAACCCACCAGTTACTCCACGGGAGCAAAGGCCTGGCAATCTGCTCCTACAAAGATTACTGCCTAGGGAACCCTTTGGGACAGTTTTACTCTGACATATTAGACATGCTCTCAGGAAGAACCAGTCCCTGGAGAAGGACTTTATGCTTGGCCAAGTGGAAGGTCATCGAAAAAAAGACGAAGACCCTCAATGAGATGAACTAACTAGTGAGTTAACCCTCAAACGTAACAACAACTGTGAGGAGAGTGCAGGATCAGGCGGTGTTTCGTTCTGTTGGACATGGGTTCCCTATGAGTCGGAACCAATTCCACTGCACCCAACAAGAGGCCTTGGTGATGCAGTGGTTAAGAGCTCAATTGCTAGCCAAAAGGTTGATGGTTCCAACTCACCAGCCTCTCTGCAGAAGAAAGATGTGGCAGTCTGCTCCTGTAAGGATTTACAGCCTTAGAAACCCTATGGGGCAGTTCTACCCTGTCCTGAAGAGTCACGTGAGGCAAAATCAACTTGATGGCAGTGGGTTTTGTTTTTTCAGGTTAGCAGTTGAAATAGATGGCACAAAATGACTCCCACTATGTGGAGAACACAAGGTATGAGGAGTGTCCCAAAGAGAGACGAGGTGCCTGAGATGAGGATCTCCCACTCTGAGCACTGGGCACTCCTGTCTCTGGACACTCCCCTCCCCATTAAGAGAGACTCTTTACTTCTGAGATAGGGAGGGAGGCAAAAAACCACCCTGTAAGGGTGCCTGTGGCAGATTACCAGCCTTGAGGCTGAGGAGAGACCGGCTCCAGAGACCATCAACAGGGCTCAAGCTTGGTGATAAAGGGGCTGGAGCTCAGAAGCAGCCCAGGAACATCCCCTACCGCTTCCCCCTTGCTCTTATCATCCTGGCCTCTTAAAGCATGCTTCTCTGAGGCTGGCAGTATCCAAGGACACTGCTGAAGCCTCTTTCCAAAGACCCTGGAATTTCTTTAGGGCAGAAAACAGAACCATTTGAGAGCACCAGACTTGGCACTCTGAGAGCTGCCTTCTTGAATGCAAACATCATAGTGCAAAACCCTGTGGTCAGGGACCAGATTGGGTAGCGCTGCACAACACAGCAGCATAGAGATGGCATCAAGGGGAATCAGACACCCCCTCTCCCACTGCTGAGACATGCCCCCAGGGAATGCTAACTGGTCTGGGAAGATCAAACTTCTCCCAAGCCCCAGCTTCACCTGCCAGGTCTCTGAAGCTGCGTCTGTGGGCACTGAGTCATCCAGCCAGGCTGCTGCTGCTCTCCATGGGCATTCTGCTCCATGGCTCCCCTACCCAGCTGGCCTTGCTTTGGGGAGGGTCTACAGGCTTCAAGACTTGTGCCAGCCGTTGTGGTCCTGGCAGTGGTCTCCTCCTCATGAAGCAGGCTCAAGCTTGTGTTGGGACTTCGCTGCAGTACCAGAGGTAAGTAAGTGTTCATTCAGACACTTCAAAGGTACATACAAGGGGGCTTCCAAAAGTTCATGGAGAAATTCCATTATCTTTTCATTCCCTTTGTTCCCATG